CTATGCCGGGTAATTTTGGCAGAATAAAGTCGTATTTATTTTTTGCTGTTAATTCTAGTGATAGTGAAATAAAAATTTAGAGTTTAGATTTTGAAGAAGGGCCAAGATCGAACATTGATCAGGTGCTTTTTCCCAGGCGTCTGTAGGTTCCAATCCACGCTTTGCAAGAGGGGCAGTAGTGTTCAACATCTTTGAACGTTTCAACGCAGAAGGGCACCTGAATTTTGTGGTTTTATTTTGAAAAAAAAGGGAGATACCAATAATAAAGCCGAGAGGTTAATGTTTGAAAAACCGTTGAACACTCACCCACAAGAAGAAGAGCGGTAGAACAAATACACCAGCAATAAGTATCACTAGAAAGGCGACATAGGTGAAGAATCCATTTACAAAATGGAGCTCCGTCTCGCCATGATGCTGAAAACTTTTTTTGATTTATCTCATATAAGATGGAAGTGCGGCGAAATAAGAGAATACTCTTGCTACAGGAGAACAGAAAGTTGTAAAGTAATCATGCACTGTTTACAAAAGTAATCAGTATGCATCGAAAATTTCGAAATGATCTGTGCCTTGGTTGAAGTTACAATCGCCGGCAAGTCTTCTGTCTCTCCTTCGTACTCTCTACTGTTCCTTTGTTTAACGACTATCATATTGGGTGGATAATGTGCGTATCTTTGGTTTTATTTGCACTTTGTACTATTTCCAAAGAATGTGTCCTGTCCTAACCATAAAGAGCGTCTTCGCGGGCAATATTGCTCAGTTGAAATCTCCACACCTTTAAAACTCGAGTCATTCATTTAGAAATGACTTTCCATGGTAATAATATTTGTGGTTGCCTTCGTACGTCAACATTCGTACTATTTTACAAGCCTTTATATAATTGCAACTTTAGTTCAGTTCTAAATACTGTGTAATAACGAAAATCATTGGAGGACAGAAATTTTCTCGCAGTAAAGCGAGAAGAGGTTTTTTACGGAGAACCATTTCAGGTCTTAATCAGCTGAGCTTCTTTCAATTTTGGAACGATCTGATATACAAGGGATGGCTGGCTCGGAAATATCCCACTTTTATCCTCTTTTGGTGGCTGAAAAATGAGGACAACATCTGTTACCTTGAAAAGGTCAAATAAGAAATTTGTAAAATGAAAATGAGAGAATTTTGTGCAAACTTTAGCTTCTTGTTTACCTCGACTTTACAGTTTGTGATATTACAGGGTAGCGACAAGGTAAACGCATAATGTTTCCCTATACACAGAAACAGATGATTTTTTAGATGATGAAGCCGTAGCCGCAGCAGTTGGATCATTTCATCACAACATTTTTCGAGAGAACGACACTCCTGGACGTGCAAACGTTTCTGGGAGGCTCTCTACTATCATTAAGAAATTTAGTGAACTGGGACTATAACCGTTTTGAACTACTTGTTAAAGGCTAACATCAAAAAGGATCTGATGATTTCACACTACTTGCACTTTTCCCGTAAAGAGGCTCAGTTTAAGAGTTGCATAGACCGATGTTCAAAACGTCATAAAAAGCAAGATCACAGGGTGTTTGCATCGCCAGTGCTAGCAAAACGGAAGGAAAGGATAGTTTTAACAAATTACTTTACTGAATCCATGGAGGTTCAGAGCGGTCTTATTCATGGATGTAAACTCTTCAACATCGTATTGAACATATACGCATCGCGCCTCGTCATAGTTTGAACTTGAGTGAGGCGCTGGAGAACCTGCGATGAGCTTAACACACCTCTCTGATCGCCAAAGTCAAGCCACTGCGCCTTGTCAATGTCTTTGAAGATCATCGGGTTTTATTATTTATTGTTTAGTATTGCGGAGACTGAACCTAGACTTCCTACGTTCAGAGCTCTATAACGCTTTCAAATAGCTTTTATCTGATCATCTTAATTCTGCCGCACTTTATACCGTGAAGCCTGACAAGAAATGTTAAGGTTTTAAAATCCTTAAGAATTCGATTCTAGTAAAGACAGAGAAATAGAAAAATAGCGAGTTCAGCCACTTTTCTATGAAACGTACGAAGACTTCGGCATTTAACTAAAATCATGACAGACACAGTACCTCCAGCTTTGATGAATTCTCATTACCGTCAACCAAAAGTACACAAAAAATATGGTTTTTCAAACTGTTTTCAGAATTTTGGATCTATCTTTGAATGAATAAAGTTCCTTCCAGAAGAACGACAGATCGATATCAGAAGGAACGCGCGGCCACATGCACTGAACTGGGAAAAAACGAAGCACCTGCGCAGGATCACATACTCTCCAGTGAGCAAACAAAGATGCAGTGAACAAGATGTTGGTTCACAAAGAATGTCTCTCACGAAGATTCTGGTCGGATAAATTTTATGAAAAAACTACTTTGCATTTGCGTACATATGAATGTATGTGGATAGATAATGTTTGATGAAGCTTGCTACCGATCACTGTAGGTGAACAATTATCTGCACTTCTAACAGACAATTCATTTAAACTTATCAATGAAAAGAAAAAAAAGCTCGATATTGTGGATCCTCCTTTCAATTTCAGATTATTTCTTTGGAAAAAATTGGAATCCTTCTTCGCTCAAAACTCTACCACTATTATAACTTCTCAAACAATTTGCAGAATTATTGCATTGTGCTAAAGATTATTGCGCAAATTATGTTTCTCTAAGGTTTTTATAATTAAAAAGAGAATTACTAATCCGCTGTAGATTGTTTATTTGAAGCTAATTATTAAGTTAGGAGAAAGTCAACTGGGAAACATCATACTTCAAACAGGTATGGCAAACATTTAACAAGTGCAATACTTTACACGGTGATCTCTATCGTGATTGCTATATTAGGAAGTTTTTAACGAAGTTACAATACTATCAAAACTGAGAAAGAATCAATTTTTTTTCAAAAGTTTGACGAAATGAAAGCTGAGTCCAGGATAGAATATTTTGAGGCTTGAGTCTCTGGAACTAAAATCAAGATCAAACCATCGGAAATGCCAACTCGTTAATAATCTATTTCCTCACATATCTAACACAAACGTTACAACACTACTGTGCGTTCTCTTGGCCATTGTTCTATAACACCTGCATATTGGATTACACCTCCTCTAGAAATATTGCAGGTTTTCCATTTTTTGCCATCAACAGATGATACCAAAAAAAAATCTAATTCCTACTTTCTGACAATGTCATTGTAGCGAACTGCAAGTTGTGAAACTAAGTTGGTGATCCGCAAGAGTTTAGAAAGGTCTCTGGCTACTCCAAAACTTTTTAACAAAATTGCTTCATTTTTTTGATTTTTTGTTAAACATGATTCAATTTTTCTGGACTTGCCGGATGCGAAAAATACTGCGAAAAGTCGTACAAAACACAAGGATGCGTTGAAGTCATGTTTCTTTAAAAAAAGTTTTAAAATCCAGTTTGAGTATTCGTTTATCTCTGCACAAGTAAGCCTACATCTACTGTAGCTTTTGGTGGTTTACGACAGTAATCCATTACATATAATAATGCTGTGTAGGTGCTCCTCATAGTTGTGGATGTAATGTGCTAGTACTGCTTCGCTGATTAGTTTATTAATCACGTTAAACATCTAGTTTTGTATCTACCGCGCCCATTAATTCAACAGGTATTGAGTCTCATGTCTGTTTCGTCAGTCGAACAACGAGTGCACTCAAAAACTCTCCTCACCTGATTTTTAACAGTTTTGATATTCAATAAAAATGACGTCGCAATAAAAGCCCCGAAAGTGTAGTAGAGCACACTTATGTCCAGTCACATTAAGAAAAAACTTGAATGAAAAATCAACCGAAAACAATAGCAAAGAAGTAGCTACGAAAGTATGTCCTATATTTCGTTGCTCCTATCTGCAACTACAAGTTGATTACAGATTCTTGGAAAGTGGGCTGCCTATCAACAGCCATTTTCCGTAAAATTCCGTATTTCTCGGAAGAAGTTGAAGTTGTACATCGTTTTTATAGCCTTCCTTGCAAATTTCGATGCGTTGTTGTTGCAGTTAAAAATAACGAACCACTGAATTCTAGAAAGGCGCCGTGTAATCTCTACCACTGCGATTTTTTTCGGAGATAATCAGTACCATAATATGAAACTCGTCATGTTATTGTTTAATTCCAAAGCAAATGCCGGTGCCGTTCTAGCTGTAGAGGGGACTTAAAGTATTAATCTATTTAGGAGATCGTCTTCGTTCCCATCGATGTTCCTTCACTTTTGTGCGGTTGAGAATTTATATAAGTAGTTAAAACGAGTTTGAGGCTTTTATGAGTCAGATATGGGGACCTTGTTCATGTGAGTTTAACAGTGGATTACGCGACTATCTCTAAGCGAGTATATCGAAGCTAGGAGTTGATTGAGACTTGAGTCAACGTAATCATGCCTCCTTCCGCCTCATTTTCATTAAAAGACACATGTAAACTCAGGATATGCGACAATATGATATGCCAAAATATTTGCTGTTTGGATTGTAGAACAAACGCATTTCGGAATTGCAGATGTTTTTTTTTCAATTCGATGTGAAATTCGCAAGAATTAGAAAACCAATATCTAAGTAGTGTGAATAAGCTGTTATCGTCCGGGAATTCGAAAGAGCTCTCCTTGCACTTCATATACTTATACAGTAAAAATAGGGCAGGTCAAAGAAAAATGTGGAAGTGATGTGAGCTCGCTTATAGAGGAGAGCAATCCGAGATGGGACTCATGCTAGGTTTTCGAGGAAGTTAGTGATTGAGCAAATAGAAAATGTGGATTCCCTGTAATCGCAGTACAAAAAACATTAGAATTTGTATCAATATTTGAGTGATCAAATGTCATAAGCCAAGTTTTTCATTTGCAACGGAAGAAGAAAGAGGAATTAGAAGTTTGATGAGGGTAGACTGAGACAAAAGTGAAGAAGATAATTCATTTTCTTGCCACCTTCTTCTTCTTAGATTTGGATGTGGAGGATTGGTAGAGGGATGCCCTGACAAATGGAAGCAAATGCGGTTGGAAACACCAACTGAGGTTTATTAAACAACTGCGTTTCACATGGGCATTCCTCTTCTGGGGCTCTAGAAAGTAGATCTTGGTCTTACAGCTGCTGAACAACTGTGATCGAGAGAAGCTCTTCTCAGAAAGTACAAATTATCTAGCCTGAGAATCTTC